GGGAGATACGTCCTTCAAGGCCTTGGCAGAAACCAAACGGCACACTCAGGTAGAACCGAGGAGGGTAAGGGGAGTCCGTACAAAGACGGGAACCTCGTGTGGGGTACCTGGTGTGCATGGGAGCGGGCCGCCATTCCCACCACTGGGCAAGAGCTGCCTGAGGTCAGGGACATGTCAGCCCACTGAGACCCATCAGGAGGGAGCCGGAGGCTAAATTCCCTGACCTCTCTTCCTAATCTCCACTCCCCTGGGCTGAATGCCACAGAAGGTTAGGGGACAGGGGAACCTGCTGTGAGCGAGGTGCGCCTCCCTGGGCGGAAAGCAGGTGGACAAGGCTGGGGAGCGGAGGGTGCATGAGGGAGGAGGGAAGTCTTACGGGACCATGGGCACTAAGTACCTGAGAAATGAATATAAGGGCTACGTCTTCCTCTTTTTTTTAAGAATTATTTATGGATTTTATTTAATTTTCTATTACTATTTATTTTTTTAATTTGACAAGAGAGAGAAAGGGAAAGTGAGAAAGCAAGCTGCCAGATCTGGGACTCAAACCATGGTTGGCCACTTGGGAGTCCAGTGCCTTAACCACCACCAGTGCCAGCCCTGGGGACTACAGTTTTCCACAAGTAGTCACTGAAAGCACTCCTTGGGTATTTGCCATTTTGGTCACTGACTGGTGTAGACCAGGCTAGGGCTGCACTCATGAAAAGGCTGCTCGGTGTAATTTCGACACGGAGCTGACAGGCCTTGGGCTGTCCGGCATGAAGCACTAGAATGGGCAGATCCTGGCATCAGGTAGCCCTTGGGAAAGAGAGATGGGAGAAACTCACCCATGGGTGGAGAAGGATGACACGGAAGTACTCTTTTCCTGGGTGCTAAGTGGTCGGGGGGGAGACCTCTGAGAATCCAGGACCCACGCTGCATGCACATATGCTATTCAACATGATATTCTGCTCGAACTGGGAGATCCTAAAACCAGGCCAGGAAAGCTCATCTCAGAGCCTTGATAACCCCTGGCCAAAATGAAAGCAAAAGCCCTGAAAGGGAACCCTCTCACTTCAGGCCACAAAAAAGCTACTGCAGATAAAGCAACCCCCGATAAAAACGCACTTATACGGAAACCAGAAAACACACAAGGAAGCAGACCACCATGTGGGACTGCAGATCTAAGTCAGAGTAGCAGAGCCCTGGAAGGTTTGGTTAAATCATGATTTCGTTGAAAGTGTTTTTATGAAGGGTCGAGATTCTAAAAAAATGAATGAAGTGTTATTACCATAGCCCGTTCGGGACATACAGGGTGCAGTCCCCTCTCAGGGGGTTGTTATTGTCCTAACTCGGCACAGTGGCCTGGACTGCGAAAGCCCTCAAAACCCTTCGACCCTCAGAAATGTGAGAGCTTCTGCTTGCTAGGTTTTATTTTGCTTTTGTTCCCCTTGGGGATACATACACACCCTCTGAGTTCACTTGTCTCCTAATTAAAGAAGATTAAGGGATAATCCAGTGGTGTGGAGGTTAAGGCAGCTGGATCCCACATGTCCAGCTATGTGATCCCAGTCTCAGACTGAGCGACTTGGAAAACATGCTAGGCATGTGTGCGGGTGTTCCCGAAATTCAGCAGAAGAAGAGAAGGGAATGCGGCATGGCCATCCCCCAGGGGGTGCTTTCTCACGTTTTCTCTCTCTCTCTTCAGCGAGTGCACGTGCCCTGTAGCAAAAATTTTTAAATAAATTTTAAAATAAATAAATAGCATTAGGATGATTCTCAGGGTTATGGCTTTTTCCTCTTCCTTCAGGACCATCTAGCCCGTAGGACTGGGTCTCGGCAAAGCGCCAAGGTACCAGGTTCCCACTCGTACTATAAAATTATATGCTGGGACTGGCAGGTGACGAGGCGGTTAAGGGCACTGGACTCCCAACCACGGTTCGAGTCCTGGACCAGGCAGCTTGCATTCTCCCATTCCCTTTCTCTCATCTCTCTCTGGTCAAATTAAAATAATAATAACAAATGGAATTAAATAAATAAATAAATCTTTTTAAAAAGATCATACCCTATTTCTCTTCCAGTTACTGCTGGTGCGTTTCAGAGTTGTTATTACAACTTCTGGTTTTTTCTGTCCCAGCATTGGATAAGCTATGGAGGCCTACTCCGCTCTGCCATCTTTCCTGGGAAGTCCCATGGCAGGATTTCTAGATTCTAAAAGGGTTTCAGAACGGCCAAGCACCGTTCGGCCTGGGAAGTCCCACAAGCGCTCGTGCCTGTGTGTCGCGGGCTTCAGGAGACCTTGTGGTTGTGGCTGCCGCCCTCATCCACACACTGGGGAGTTGGGAAATACTGGGCACTTCCTGTCCATGGCACACGATGCCCTAGCACCCAAACTCTGCAGGGTCGAAGTGTGTTCAACCACAGGACGTCAGGGGCGACCCTGGGAGCCCCGTCTCTAAAACGGCAGGGGGTAAGCAAGAATGGTCGCCCGACAGGAGCAAGGGAGGAGACAGTGAGTCCTTAGAACAAGGAGTGGGGTCAAGGGTGAGTGGATGGTCTTTAGTTAATGGAGACACTTTGGGAACCAGCAGTTAGCGTAATGGCTATGTCGCTGGACTCCCACGTAGTCGACCGTGGTTCGCGTCCCGGACCCGGTGGCTTAAAACTCACGCCGGGCACGTGTGCGTGCGTGCCCAAGATCCCAAGAGGAGAATGGAGGAGAAGGGATTGCGGCGTGACCATCCCCCCTGGGGGGTGATTTCTCGCTTTCTGTCTCTCTGTCTCTCTCTGTCTGCCTGGTGAGCGCACGCGCCCTATAGCAAAATCCTCTCAAAAAAAAAAAAAAATGGAGACACTTAAGAAGTCTCTGCTTTAGGGCTTGTGCTCTTGCCAGAGACAAAGAGAGACAGAGACAGTGAGAGGGAAAGTGAGAAATCGCCACACCACCTCCCCCACCCCCGGCACGCCTCAATTCCTTCTCCGGGGGTCTTGGGCAAAACTGTCCATGGACAGAGGAAAGACGCAAGTGTCCCAGAGACACGTGAAGGCGGGGACCAGGAGCTGAGACCTGAGAAGAGGAGACGCGGCCGTCTCCTAGAGGGGGCTGAGAGCAGTTAGAGCAGGTGGGGAAGAGACTGGAAGTTGTGAATAGTTTGAAATAGCCGATAGAATGTGGGGAAGTGACAATCTGTGACACTCAGAAGACCCTCTGAGATTGGGGACCATAAATTAGTAATGGGCGTTGTTTATAGAAAAGTGGCTTCAACCAGCTGTTCTCAGAAGCACAGCTGAAGGGCAGACCGACAGCTCGACCGAAGGAGCGGTTTAGGGAGCTCCCACTGGCAGGGAAGGACCGATGACAGGCTGCTGGCTCTCAGCTAGACCTGGCGGTGGACGTTCGCGGAGTGAGACCGAAGGCCAGTGACGGTGAAGGGATGAACTGAGACTTGGGCACTGAGTGGGGACCGCGAGGACAGCTTAGTCCCGGGATTATGAAGGTGTCTGGGGTAGACAGCAGCGCGACGCCCTGTCCACACCGTGAATAATGAGGGGCTGCCGGGCAGACAGCGGAAAGCAGCGGTGAGTGGAGTGAGGGCGACCCAGCTGGGGACTGGAGGCCAAGGCAGTTCGCACATATGGAGGTCCGGGGCGAACACCAAGGTGGCCCTGAGGCCATGCGTGTCACCTTTGCACCCCACTTGAGAAGCAGTATTCCCCATGAACAGAGACAGCGGGAGAGTCCCCGGGGTGAATTCAGCTGCCCGGGAGGTTTGCGTCTTATCATGGAACTGGGATTCCAGAGGGCACGGACAGGAGCGTGTGGAAAGGGGGTGCAGAGGGGTGAGGTGAGGCAGAGGAGGTAGACAGCAGCGTGCAGGGAGACATGGAGAAGGTGCAGGGCCTGAGGCCTTGGCTGGACAGGAAGGGTGGGGGAAGATGGGACTGAGTGGTTTGCGTGTTCTAGAAAGACTGGCCCCAGCCCGCCACAGCAGAGGTGGGCTGGAAGGCAGGAGGCCGACTAAGATGCTACAGAAGGACCTCTCCCTGGAAGACACAGGACTGAGCCCCAGGGATCGATGCCCTCCTCCCGAGGCTGTGCCAGCTCACATCCTCCAGGGTCGACAGCCGAGTGGGACCTGGCACGAGGGGACGCATTGGGGGAGCTTCTGTGAGAGCAGTTGCAGAGGGCGGGGTGGGGCTGCAGAACCACCATCAGATGCAGGTCTGACCTCAGGGCAGGGAGAGAGGGAGGGGGGCACAGCCCGTCCCCCAGCAGAGGAGCCCTGACCCCAGTGAGGGAGAGGGAGGGAGGGACAGTCCACCCCCAGCAGAGGAGCCCTGGCCCCAGTGAGGGAGAGGGAGGGAGGGACAGTCCACCCCCAGCAGAGGAGCCCTGGCCCCAGTGAGGGAGGGAGGGAGGGACAGCCCACCCCCAGCAGAGGAGCCCATCCTGCGGGAATGGCCTGCCGCGGTGTCCCTCACAGGGGCGTTCAGTGTAAGCAGCAGCCCCGGCAAGCAGGACCCGCACAGCTGCAGAGGTAGGCCTCAGGGTGCAGCAGCTGGGCCCCTCGGGCAGTCATGCTCCCCTCAGAACTGTGGGGGGACCCCTTTCAGGGCCACCCACACACACAGTAATACCTGCTGTCTAGGGCGACACTTCTCAAAATACGCCTGCAGAGCTCCTGACCCAGAGGTATTTAACATGGAAGCAGGGGTTCCGGGATCCCACGGTTTCGGAAAAGACTGTACACCCTAAGTTCCGCACAGAGGCTTGTGTTAGCACATGGAGAACTCTGTGCGGGGCCGGCAGGTGGTGTGCTGGTTGGGGCGCTGGACTCCCACATGGCTGACCACAGTTCAAGTCCTGGACCCAGCAACTTGCTTTCTTACTTTCCCTCTCTTTCACTCTGTCCCTCTCTGGTCAAATTCTCTCTCTCTCTCTCTCTCTCTCTCGTCAAATTTTTAAAAGTAACAACAGCAGCAATAATAATAATAGATAAAATTAAATAACTCTTTTAAAAACAAAAACCTCTGCGAATTCCTGTGGTAAAGAACTTGCTTTCAGTTCAGCTCTTTCTCGAACTGTGTGAGCCAAGTCCACGCCCTCCTTTTCCCTCCCTTTACACCTTCTGGCGCTGTCCGCATGTCACCTACTGCCCACAGTGTGAGCCTCCCAGTCACACCCAGCACCGGAGGGAGGACCCCACGCTGGAGTCGCCACCAGGAGGCAGAGCTCCCCAGGACGGGGGAGCCCACAGCGGTGGAGGGAGGACGTTCGGGGACAGCCACAGCCCGGGTTCCACCACACCAGCCCCTCGGCCCCGCTGCCGTGGCTGGTGTCCTCGGAACTAGCGGCAGCGCCCAATCACATTCCCACCGGGCTGCTTCGCTGCTGCTGCTGCTCTTCCTGGAGGCTCGTTTGCTTTTCTAGTTCCAGAGCCGCCTCTGCGCCGCAGGCCACCCAGACCGTGCACGGCGTGGAAAGGGCGCCGTGGAACCAGAGGCCGGAGGGCAGCACCGCCCCCAGGTTAGGCTGACCCACGAGTCCTCCCAGACCTCTGCAGTCCTCCAGGTCCTCCGGCCGCCTCCCCATCCCTGCGCCCCCATCCCTAGCCTGCCATAGCCTCTGTCCATGTCTTTCCAGCCTCAGCACAGGGCTAGAGTTGTCCTCCTTGTGGCCCCTCCCACTGCCTGGCTCTTGTCCCCATGTCCTCACCCCAGACTTTCCTCCTCTGGCTTCTCCTCAGAGCAGCGTCAAGTCCCCAAGTGTCGCAGCTCAGGTCACTTCCAGCCGCTCACGTGATCCGTGCATTCCTCAGCACGATGCCGGGGCAGCTGAAGACTCTCGGGGGCTCTAGGGCCCCCCTCCCTCCCAGCTGGCATTACTTCTGTGCCATTTGTCTTCCTCGGGTCACCTCTGGGGACCCCATCCCTCAGCCCATGCGAGGAGCCTTCCAAAAATGGCAGTGAACCCAAATGCACAGGCCCCGGGCTGTCGGCGTGGTTGCCCCTCAGGGCGTGGGCTCCGAGATGCTGCCCTGGAGGGACAGGTCCCCAGGTGTGACTCCTGGGACAGCAAACATTGTCCCTGTGATGGGAGCTGGGAGCTGCTACTGATGGCCCAAGCCAGAGGGTTCTCGGGGCCAGCCCGGCCCTCTCTATCACCCCGGGCAGCAGTCACCCGCTCCTTATCAGGGCAGCCAGGAGGACGGCTGCGTAAGTGACTGAGGCCACGGGGAAATCAAAGGCGGGGTGCAGGGGAAGTGGGGAGGAGAAGCAACTTCCCGGTTCTGCTCGGAGGCTTAGAGACCCTGAGGTCTGAGGGAGCTTGCTTTATTTCATCTGGTCGCTGGGATCGGAGAGGAGGGCAGAGCCACCAGGGGAACAAACAGCCGCTGTCCTGCCTGGCGGGGTCGGGCCAGGCTGTGCCAAAGTCTGCGTCTTCCGGTGCCCAGGCCTTTCCCACGGCTCGGTGGATGGGCGGTCAGGAGGCTGCGCCCTTCCCCCCAGGAACTCGGGCGTGGGGTAAGTCATCTGTGTATCTAACCAGCAATGTCCACAGTGATGGTTTCGCTTTTGCAAACATTTATTTATATCCTTCGAGAGAGAAACATCTCAGCCAGGACGGGAAGCTTGTTCCAGGGGGTGAGCATGTTTTTAAACACATAGAAATGATGACCTACTCCAATGACCTACTCCAATTTCCGGAAAGTAAGCCACAGTACTTGGCTGTCTTTCATGTGTGTTTTCTTACCTATCGTTTGCAAGTGTGCAGGTCTATACTCTGTTAAGAATGTGAGTCCTGGAGGAGGGTTCCGTGCCATGCTCTGCTAAGCACCTAAGAACCTCACAGCCAGGCGGAGGGGCGGCTGCCCTGGAAAGGGGCCGTGGGACTGTTTTCGGGCTTCTGAGACAGAGACCCTCACCAGCACGGAGGACGTGGCGTGGGTGCTGGCCCGGTCAGTGTCTCCTCCAGGACACAGCAGTTGAAGGAAGGGACAGTGACCTCTGGTATCTCCCTAGGGCAGGCCAAGGATGGCTAACTTCACGACTTCCCCGGAGGATGAGTACGATGTCCTCATCGAAGGTGACCTGCCAGGCGACGAGGTGGAGCCGTGCACGGAGTACGACGCCCGGGGGCTGTCGGCGCAGCTGGTGCCACCACTCTGCACCACCGTGTTCACGGTCGGACTCCTGGACAACATCCTGGTGGCACTCATCCTGGTGAAACGTCGCCAGCTCCGGCACGTGGAGAACGTCTATTTTCTGAACTTGGCCGTTTCCAACATGTGCTTCTTGCTTGCCCTGCCGTTCTGGGCTCACGCCACCTCCCTGGGGAGCGGTTTTGGAGCCCCCACGTGCAGAATCCTCGCTGGGCTCTACTCCGCGGGGCTGTACAGCGAGGCGTTCTTCACTGCCCTCCTGGCCGTGCAGAGGTACCTGGTGTTCTTCCCCGTGCGCTGCTCTTCCACAGCCACCAGGCCAGTGCGCTGCAGCGTCATCACCAGCACCGCAGCGTGGGCGAGCGCCATGCTAGCCGCCGTGCCCGAGTCCATGTTTCCTGACGCTCAGGTCGAAAGCCTGAAACACACGTGCTTCTTCGGCAGGCCTCCCCTCCTGCCGGCTGACCAGGAGTTCTGGAAGGCTTTTCTGACTTTAAAGATGAACATCTTGGTGCTGGCGTTCCCGCTGTTTGTGCTCGTATTTTGCTACGTCCGGATGAGACAGACGCTGCGGTGCAGGGAGAGGCAGGGCGACCTTTTCAAGCTGGTTTTCGCCGTCGGGGTTGTGTTCCTTTTGATGTGGGCGCCCTACAATGTCGCACTCTTCCTGTCCACCTTCAGAGAGCAGTTGTCCCTGCCCCGCTGTGACCGCAGCTATAGCCTGCACAGAAGCGTCCAGATATCAGAAGCCATCGCGGCCACCCACTGCTGCGTCAACCCCCTGCTTTACATGCTCCTGGACGAGGCTTTTAGGAAAGACCTCAGGCACCTCTTCCGTCCCTGTGGTAACACTCCGCTCCAGCCCCGGGGGGAGCCGGCACAGGGCACGTGGAGGGAAGAAAACGAGCAGGCCACTGCAGTGTGAGCCGCTTCCTGCAAGACTGGACATGCACATGTGGACCTCTGTGCCTGCATTGTTCTCTGTACATGCTTTCTGCATATGCATGTGAAGCTGCAAACGGGGAAGGGGGCGAGAGCACTTCCTAAGCCCTGAGTTGGCTCAGGCACGCAGCGAGGCTCTCTGCGCCCGTGAGCGCCACTCCTTGTCTGTGGTGGCAGTGGCGGGGGTCCCTTTCTCTGAAAAGGAAACTGAGGCCCAGAAGTTTGTCCAGGATCACACAGAGGACAGTGGCAGGACTGGGACACAAGCCCAGGCCTCATTTGCCCCAGAGCTCACATTTCATCTGCTCACCAAGCTTCAAGACATTGAGCAATGACATACATGAAATAAACATTGCAATTTTTAAGTGATCTGGTCATAGTCCAGTTAGAAGCAACTCAGTCACATGGTCTGATTTCTCAGGTACCTTTCTTGCAGACACTTAGAACTGCTAGCCGGAGACTGTAGGGGGACAACGCGGCGAGGTGACGTGTTCCGTGGAAGTTCTCTATGCTCTTCTGACTACACGCCACACTCCGAGGCCTCCAGGTCTCCCCAACCTGCGAGCCTCCCAAGCTTTTTAGTATTTCTTCCTGCTTTTAGCAACAGTAAATGCAAAGTTATGTTTAGAAATGTCCACCCGAATAAATGTTTCATCCTTGCAAATGTCACACTACCTCAGGCGTCACTTGCCTGTGTGTGACATTTGAAAGGACACTTGCAAAACCATGCTCCATTTCTGTAGCTGAATTAGAATGCAGGTTCCCACCACCATGGGGGTGAGCATGTTTTTCAACACATAGAAATGATGACCTACTCCAGTTTCCGGAAAGTAAGCGACGGTACTTGGTTCTCCTTCGTGTGTGTTTTCTTACCTATCGTTTGCAAGTGTGCAGGTCTATACTCTGTTAAGAATATGAGAGATTTTTGCCACAGGGTGTGTGTGCTCACCAGAGAGACAGAGAGAGGGAGAGGGAGAAATCACCCCCCAGGGGGGATGGCCACGCCGCAATCCCTTCTCCTCCATTCTCCTCTCGGGATCCTGGGCACGCACGCACACGCGCCCAGCGTGAGTTTAAGCCCCCGGGCCCAGGACTCAAACCGTGGTTGGCCATGTGAGAGTCCAGCAGCTTAGCCGCCATCCCACCTGCTGGCCCCACTGCTCGTCCTTTTGAAGCTAGAAAAACTGCCGTTCTAAAATATCACCATTAGCTGCTTCCTTCCTCCCCTTCCTTTTCCTCTCTCCCTTTCTTCCTTCTCTCTCAGAAATACCCCCAGAATGCCAGCCCACTCTGCTCCCCTCCCACCATCAGATGGGCGCTCATGCCACTGACCCTGGGGAAGCAGCAGGCCTCCCTCCTTCACAGGAAAGGCCTTCCCTAGAGCCTAACCCGATGGGTGCAAACTAGGACACATGGGACTCTACCCGCTGAAAGCCCGTGTCTGGCCAACCCACAAGGGTCCTTCCTCAAGAACAATGCAAGGAGATTTGCGCATACGGGTGACGTGAAGTGGAGAAAATCTTTCTTTCCAAGCATCGGAATCCTCATCTACCGCGCTGTGCTGGACGACCCCATCTGTGGAGGCAGTAGCTGAGAAGCCTGTTAGGAGGCAGGTGAGCACCTCGAGTGACGCGCTTGAGTAACAGCGAACACTCCAGCCCACACCCACGCAGCAGGTCTCAGCGTGAGGCACAGGACAACCCGCTGAGTCAGGTGGCTGGGCCCTGCCGGAGTTTCTGGTTCAGTGGGTCTGGGGGGCCTTGGAATGTGCTTGTGAACAAATCCCTGGGGGTGCTGGAGCTGTTGGCCTAGAGACCTCACTCCAAGAACCCACGTTCTAGGGAGAAGGGACGCAGCTGAGCAGTTTGGGGGGCTTGGATGGGAGTACACGGGGCGGCAGAGGGGGTCTGAGAGCAGATGTCACGGGGAGGACCCGGGGAGGGACGAAACCCCTCGTGTGGATGGCTTCGGTCCTGCCAAGCCCGGGAATAGCTGGCCACTCACAGCCTTCACCGAGGTCTCGCACCGGATCTGTCGTTTCGGGTTGTGACAGGGCTCTGGGTCTGGCCTCCAGGTGAGCTGGAGTGAGCCCAGGTAACAGGTGTGGAAGTTGTCGGAATGAAGATGGAGTCATCTGTGTTAGCTTAGACGGACCCTGACTACGTGGAGCCAGAGAAGGCCGTGACGGGAGGGGATGGCACGTGTGCCTAGTAACAAGAGCTGTCACAGGGCTTTTCCTGGGGACACAGCCCTCGGCATCAGGCCCGAGCCTGTGAGAAGGAGGAGGAGCTGGGCCTGAAGACCCACCAGGAGAAGCCCGAAGGAGCAGGACTGTCAGACATGATTTCAGCACAAACCCTAGAGAGCCGAAGGACACTGTTTTTTTTTTCAATACCGCGAACTTTATTTCTGGCTAAGATGATGGCAGGGAATTGTGAAAACAGATGAGGTCAGGAAACCCCGCCTCGGCGAGGCAGGACGCGCCCGCACCCCGGGAGAAGGGCTAAGAGCGTGGAAGGGCGAACACAAATGGAGAATGGCGAGGCTTCTTCTGCAAGGCGGGCCATCAACCCGGGTTTTACTGTCTGAGGAAACCGCAGGCTTCCAGGAGCGCTGGGGACACACAGGACAGGACAGTCAGAAACTGATCTCATCATTGTTTGAAATCAATACGTCCTTTTCTTAACCAGCACTGCCCCACCACCGTATGCTGCTGCGGGCCACACTCGCTCTCCCGGCCTCCCCAGCTCCCAAAGGTGTACAGGGCAGTCGGCCTCCGCCCTGGCCCGAGGGGCACCACTGCCTCACCCACTCGTCTCCAACTGAGCCAGTGAGTCGCCTTGCACTCCTAGCTCACAAATGTGGTGGGCCTTCCCCTTGTGGAACTGTGAGCAGCTGACAGCGTGGCCCTCCCGCACACCCGTAGCAACTTCCTACTCGCCCGTCCAAACGGCCACAAGAACTCGCTGAGCCCTGCTGCATGAGTCGCTGTGCTAGAGGGGGACACGGCCACACCTCGAGGCCTGCCCTCCAGAGGCGTTCGGTTTGGACTCCTGAGCACAGTCCAGCCGCCATCTCCAGGGTGTGACCCTCAGGGCATCTGTCACGGCACTGCTGGTCAGTATAGAAACACAGAGTAGGTGGGACCAGCAAAGGTGTAACAGTTACATCGCTGGATTCCCACAGGGACAACCACAGTTCGAGTCCCAGACCTGGCAGTTTGAAACACACACCAGGCATGTGTGCATACATGCCCAAAATCCCAAGAGGAGAATGGAGGAGAATGGATTGCAGCATGGCCATTCCCCCTGGGGGGTGATTTTTCTGTCTCTCTATCTCTCTGACAAGTCTGCCTCTGGTGAGTACACGCACCCTATAGCAAAAAATCTCTCTTAAAGAAAAAAAATACATAGCAGCTGTGTCAGTCTCGGCACTACTGCGATTTGAGTCCTGATAGTAATTGTGTGTGCGTGTGTGTGTGCATGTGTGTGTGTGTGTGTGTGTG